CAGGGATGCGCCGATACCGAGTATTTGGGCAAGTGCCCGTCCAAATGCTCCGATACTTACCCCTGATACCGGTTATTTCCTCTGAGCGGCAGTGTTGCGAGGGAACATGGAGCCGACTTCCCGGCCAATCGGGAAGCCAGGCGGCAGGTAATGACTCGCCGCCCGGCTTCCTGATTGTCCGGGGAGCCGGCTCCATGTTGTTTGGCCTGCCAATGCTACAGCTCTGCCTCTTGAAGAGAGAAAAAAAAACCCTCCCTGTCACTACGCAGGAAGATGCCAAGTAGCTGTTTCTGTATAGGGCCGTACCATGGAGTTGGGATTATTACACTATAGAGCGAAAACTCGTTGGTGGTGGCCTGGGCCCCCCAGGCTCCAAGACCCTTGCAAATCCATCGGCAATACCCCTCTGATGGCGTCCCTGGGGGTCCCTTCAAACGGACCATCCCAACCACCCCCTTCGCCCGGAGAAGAATGGAACGTGCAGACAGGTGGCAACCCTCCACTCTGACACCCTTAACACAGGGCTGCCACTCCCTTGTGGGTCACAACCCACTAGTTGAGAACCAGGGGTGTAAAGGGTATCCGATATGGGGTTGGCTGATTTAGCTGAATTCCCATTGCAAAGAAATCTGAAATATATTTCCAGGGTTGTTCGCACATCCTTATTGGTAGTTATTTATTTGTTTGCTGGTGACATTTGTGCCCCTGCTTTGACGCTATCCATAGCTAATGTAATGACTTGTTCTTGCTGCCCTGCAGGTGGAGCTGCTGGAGGCAGCTTTGGACCACAATACTATAGTGTGTCTGAACTCTGGCTCGGGGAAGACATTCATTGCTGTACTCCTTACTAAAGAACTGTCCTATCAGATCCGAGGGGACTTCTGTAATGGTGCCAAGAGGACTGTATTCCTGGTCAACTCCGGTAAGCATTGCTCAAAGGTTTTATTGCTTTTAGGGCATACAGTGTCAACCAGTAATACACAAAGTTCTGGAAGATAATTACAACCGTGTTATACGTATGCATCCAGTATATGTTGCAGTAGTATAAATGTTTCCACATGGGAGGGGAGTAAGAGTGTGGCTGGGGTTCAGCATTGTGAGCGAGAAGCCAAGGTAAGTACCCAGATCTCGCTTGGAAGTGTGTGGGGGATATAGGATATTTACCTGAGGGGGGTGGGATCACATGAGTATTCAGAGTGTATGGTGGGGATAGGGCCATTTGGATGCGAGTGAGTTGTATGGGATTTGAGGGAGCATGTGTTCTACAGATGCATATTGTATATGTTGCAATTGTACAAATGGTCCACATAATAGGGGAGGGAGAGAGTTGAGGAAGGGTGGGGTTGGGTGTTCAGTGTCCTAAGCGAAAAGCCAAGGTAGGTACTGGGGTATTGCATTGATGTGTGTGGGGGATATCTCATGACTATACAGAATGTATGGTAGGTATAGGGCCATTTGTGGAGTGTATGAGAGCTGAGGGAGCTTATGTTATACATATGCATTCAGTATATGTTGCAACATTACAAATTGTCCACATGGGAGGGAATGGAGAGGGTTGAAGAAGAGTGGTGTAGGGGGTCAGCATGTGAGCGAGAAGCCAAAGTAAGTACCAGGGTATCTCATGGATGTATGTGGGGGATAGACTATTTCCTTACTATACAGAGTGTGTGGTGGAGATGGGGCAATTTTGGCTGAGAATGGGTTGTAGGGGAGTTGAGGGAGTATATGTTAGACATATGCATACTGTATATATTGCAATAGTACAAATCATCCACATGGAAAGGAGAAGAGTTGAAGAGTGGGATAGGGTGCCAGCTTCGTGAATGAGAAGCCAAAGTAAGTACCAGGTTGTCACATGCAGTGTGTGTGTGTGTGTGTGTGTGTGTGTCCGGGTTTCCGGGGTTTCCCTCAGTATTTAATGACTATATGTAGTGTATGGTGGGGTATAGGGCCATTTAGGGGAGTTGAGGGAGCAGAGGAGTAGAAGCCTCTGCGTATGTTTGCAGTCACTGTTCGGGTATTTAGGCAGTCGTGGACGCAATTTAATAGCTGGCAGGTGGCGATTCCTCCATGCACGCTGTTTAGCATGAATTGAATAATTTCAAGCATGGCCAGTATCTTCATTTCAATACAGCTACTTACTTAAGTTTCGTTCATTTCCAGCTAAACAAGTTGCCCAGCAGGTTTCTGCAGTCCGTACTCACTCCGATCTCAAGGTTGGAGAGTATTCTGCTCTGGAGGCCGTGGAGAGCTGGAGAAAGGAGAGATGGAACCAAGCGTTTCTGGATCATCAGGTGACACTTCTTATGGTCTTGGGGAAAAGATTATATATATATATATATA